GTACCAATGTATGTATATATGTTTTACATATATGTTATCTATTCCTAGAAATATGTTGGATATCTGTCATACTTGAGTTTAATGTTCTGAAGAAGTAGCAATTACTGCGAAACATGTCACAAAAAAACAAACTACAAGTACAACTTTGAACAGTATATTCCTTTTAATGAGTTGTACACAAGTGCTTTTTGAGGTTTATGCAAAAAATATAACTAAATAATAATAAATATAACTTTATATTGAATTCACATTTGTGAAGTTGTTTTTCTTTAGAGGTACATAAATATATCGGTGGGTCACCCTAGAATACCCTTTTTTTCCTCTAGTCTGTTACAAAATAAATTTTTTTTACTACGCAAGTTTGCATTAATGAGATAACTTTCAAAGTGTCACATCCCAATGATACAAGAAAAAAGTCTAAAAGATATGTAATACCCATTACTGGATTGGGAAGCATAACAGACACAAATATAGATATAGAGAGAGCGCGCAACTATTTAGCATATGATGTATGGATGGCAATGCATTTCGCAACAGAATTGCTACAATCAGGACAAATGGGTGTACACATAAGATTAAAATATAAGCATTGCTCCTTTTGATGGTTTTTTAAAATATTTTCCCCCTAAACTAAAGCCTGGTACACATACATTTTTTTTTTTTTCTGTACAAACCAGCAGTTAGTGCGACGATCACCCCCCAGTGTGCCTTTTTGTCCTGACAGGGGGACTGCGCCCCCTTCAAATGTATACATGAACTATAGAGTGCTAAGCATTTTAATACAACCAACTGTTTATTTGCAGTGCTATAGCCTTTGAGTATGAAGCTCTGTACAATATTACAATATCTGTTACTGCGTAAGGACGTCAAAAGAACTGCAATCATTCTTTATGTAATGAAAAGCTGCCTAGAAGAGATGTTTGACATCAATTTTTCCACCAACTACCTACCTGTAAGTCAGGTACTCAAAAAAGGATCCTACAATAAGTTTCTGTGGTCACCAGGTTACACTGAACAACAAACTTTTTTCAATAGCTTGGCTTCCTGAAAAACTTTTGGTGATTATTACAGACCCCTTAAAACTGAACACAAATACATTATTTAGAATTACTATCGCAAAGGAATCTTGAGAAATATGAAATTAACTTTTAAAAAGGGCTAGAATGCATTTAATTGCACAATGTTTCCAAATTTTTTTTTATCAGTCTGAGTTCTATGAGAAGCGGAGGCAAAATATCTTTATCGAGTCAACAAGTGGTTCAAGTGCCATGTTTTTCTGTGCTGCAATCAAATTCTTTTGGAGTGGCCATTTCTTTTTAAAGACTCCTGCATGGCTGTACCATTTGTATAATTAACAAATGTACTTGGCATATCCAAGCTGCATTCTAAGCAGCAGAGCCACTACTTTTAGATTTCACAATTATTCCAGGTGTACTGGATGTGCTTCAACAGCAATTCCATATTTTTGTATATTCCTTTTGTGCGTGCAGCATGGCCAATCAGTTTTGCAAATTGCATAAACAGAAGATTTCTATAAAACAGTATGGGATGGGTTATATAACAGATTATTTTTGTGATTAGCAGCTAAACATCTATAAGATACACTTAAAGGTGTTCAGGAAACAAAAACTCTCTGTCCACTGCTATTGGAAATTATGTGAATTGAAAACTAAAACATTGGTAAATTGACAGCTGGTGTAGCACAGAAAACAGCACAGTCGTATTAATAGCCAAAATATAAAAAAAAATAGTCCCAAAGATGTTTTTTTTTCCATAAAAACATCCAATCCATCTAGGAGGAAATATATCACTACTTCTATTCTGACTAAAAAGCCAGTTTACAATACTTTTCTACTCACTACTGAAATGCAAGAACCTGGGCTAAAAATATAAATTTACAGTTCACTAACCTGACTTTGATCTTTTAATGCAGCAACACAAAGGAAGTTGCATTCACCACCTATAATGCCTATGAAATGTGAAGGCCTTGGACCCTTTGTTTCTTGGGTAATTTTTACAATAAAGCATCGTTGCCCAGATGGCAGGAGCATGAGAAGTGACTGATGTAATTTCTCTAGGCTAAAAAGGAACAGTCACCATCAAGTCACAAGATATTAGACTGCTTATAGCAAGATAAGAACTTGTTTGTGGGATTGAACGTGTTATGACATCTAGTAATGTCACATTAGAAGAGAAGAACCTGGTTTAAAGATGTCTACTTGCTTGAGAAGTTAGAAATATTTAAGTTTAGGGTAAATGAGAAGTTTAAGGTAGATAAGTTGATCTGAAGCAAAAAAGTGTGACTTTTTAGATAACTATGTTGATTCAATATTGTGGCTGGGAGTGACTGTTATCCTCACAGAACCTTTCTGCTAGGTCCTGCTAGAGTGGGTGTGGCGCCCGCCCACTTCAGGAAAGCTGCCAGGAAAATGGTTTAAAAGGCGGGAGTCTGAACAGGATCGACTGGAGCCCCCTGGTGACAGGGGGCGCTCTGATGCTGGGACTCTTGCCAAGGCTATTTGGGTTTATCGATTGGTCATGTTAATGGCTTCCCTGTGACCCCTTGTGCAGTATGGTTCCGATGGGATCGGTTCCTTCCTGCCTTTACATAGCTTTTGTACTGTATTGATTCTATGTGGAGACGCGGTCAAATAATGTGTATTTCATACTGTAATGCGCACATTATTATTGGTGTGTGTTATTATGCAGATTGTGATGACTAGGAGATATATCCTCCCTTTGTGTCGTGTGATAATAAAAGTGGAGGTTTTGACAGTGCAAGAATATTGCAGTTGGATTCTGTTATTCCTTGGAGTGCTGGGTAAATGCTATGATGTGCCAGGACACGTGTTCATTTGGTAGAGGATCTTTCACATGCGTAGAATATGTAATGATGTAAATGCTGGTTAAAAGTACCTGTGTGACTACCTGTTGATTGTGTGTGTGTATGACTTGCTTTTAGTTATTGCACCCAGCATTGCCATTACACCGCCTCACCTGCTGCTGACACTGCTACAATGACTAAGCTGACCATAGACTGTTAGTTTTCATTCAGCCAGCCAGCTGACAACTAAAAAGAAAAATGGATTCTTCAATCCACATAAACTAGGTGGATGGAGGAATTGTTTCACTTTTGTTAGTAGTGGTCTAACTTCCCTGACTACCGTTTCCGTGTCCAATGAGAGCTTCTTAACTGATGGTTGAAGCACTATCTTTGGGTAGGGAGATGGCAGTTGGGCTTAGTCCTGAAGCCTGGCACCAGTAACCATTAAAATGTGAAGTCATTTTAATATCTTATAGTATTGCCCTATCCAGTTAGGTTGGAGAAAAAAAAAAAAAAAAAAAAAAGATAAAAATACACGGATACAGAGAAACTCTATAAAGCATGGTCCAATGTTCTCCAATAGTGTAGAAATTCCTTTCTAACCCCTAACAAGGCAAACAGATCTTCCCTAGATCAACAATCTCTAGTGTTATTACTTAGAAAAGGTTAAATGTTGTGCCTTTAAGAATGCGTCCAGCTCTTTTTTTTTTTTACCCAGGTACACTCCTAAAAATAAAATAGGTGACTATGGGTGAACAAAACACATAATAACGAGATGAGAGAGAGAGACAGAGAAAGAATACCAAAACTCAGTGATACAAATATAACACAAATAATATCCTGCAACCGATTAGTTGCTATATGCTAAATGCTCCCAAAATTTAAGTGTTCACAGTGAACATAACAAAAGGATAGGTGGAAGTGAAAAAATGAAATCTAAATAAATAAATGAATAAAAACAGTAGAAACTGGTATGGAAAAATAAAATAAACTGCAAAGTAATTTCTGCAACACAGTTGCAGGATATTATTTGTGTTCTCTTATATTAAAGCGGAGCTCCACCCAAAAGGGGAAGTTCCGCTTTAATGCTTTGCCCCCCACTAAGGATTGGCACCTTTGGGGAGCGGGAACCTGCATTTGGCAGGTACCCACTCCCACTTCTGCTACGATCGCCTAGGTGATTGGAATCGAACTTGTCCTCCCCCTCTCCCTAGTCTTCTGGGGCACGTGACAGGTGCCAGAAGACTACGGGGCTATTCACAAAGGAACTCCGCTTTAAGTATTTTTAACGTTCCAGTATATGTTTATATTAATTGAAATTGTGTTATGATCACTACTACCAAAATGTTTTTAAATGGACTTTAGTAACTGTATCATAAAATAGTCTAGTAAAAGGTTTATAAAATGTTTGCCTTTTTAGTATTCCAGATGTGCCATTTCCCCAGTCAATTTCAGGGGAGTTAAAATCTCCCTTAATACCACTGTCCCAGCCCTATCAATCTGCACAAGGAGCTGAGTCGCCACCTCCTCAATACTGGGGCCTGTAACAAACTCCAATAATTAACTTTGAAGTACACACACCCATAATGCTTCAGCACCCATCACGCTTTGCATCAACTAGGTCCTCTTTTCCCATTTTGAGATCACTTCTCACATAGAGACAGACACCACCACCTTTATGTTTTACCATGTCTGTCCTAAATAGAGCATAGCCAGGAATAATAATAGCCCAGTCATATGAAGAAAGAAGCCAAGATTCAGAAATTTTAATTCAATCATAGGTCTCTTCGTGCACCAAAGCTTGCAAATTTCCTTTTTTGCTTGGCAGACTTCTGGCATTGGTGAACAAATACTTTACTCCATTGCTGCATTTTTCACTTGAGTTGTGCAATTGCCAATGGTTGCTTGCAACATCTATTTGCAACTTCTATTAGTGCTGAACCCCTGTCTAAATTGCCTGACCCATTATATTCTAATTCTCTCCCCCACCCCCCAATTCTAGTGTAAATACTCTACGGACCTTCCAATAAACCTCTCACCTAGCCACACCACAGCCGACCCCCTTCTATTTAGATGCAAACCACCTTTAGCATGTAGGTTGTAACCCAAGGAAAAGTCAACTCAGTGCTTGTATTTATTAAAACATGAGAGAGCAGTCATATCATTATCTGCATACCATTCTCTTTCCTCAGTCTGGAGATGAATTTCTTGGGGGGTATAACCCCCACTTTCTTCTTTTGTGTAGCAATGCTGTTAAAAAGGTCTGCCAAACATGTAAGTAAGCTTTCCTTCTTCCGTGGCTGGACCTTGTATGCCAGAACTTTCTCCCGAAACGGGCGACAAAAATAAAGTGCTTGTAGAACAGAGTTGCAGTAGCAGGTGTTGCCAAACTGTGGAGAAACAAAAAGGATCGGTAACCATCGTTTTAGTGACACTAAGGCTAGGGAGATATATAAGTATATACATACATACATACACACACACACACACACACACACACACACTTTCCCTGCATGCTGTGTTTTTGCAGGGTACAGCAGCCCATTCATTTGAATGGGCTGCTCTACCTGCAGAAAAACGCAAAGAAAAAGGTTCTTGCACCTTTTCAAAAATGAAATTGCAGGAAACAGCATTGTGCTCCGTGCACCTGGAAATGCTCTGCTTTCAGATGCATGAGGGGGGGGGGGGGGGGGGGGGGGGGCATTATGAAATAAAAGGCACCCTTGTGAGTCTGATAAAGAGCAGTGCATTTTGTTTCTTTTACATGGATTCCTGAACCAGCACAAATGTGAGGCTATCCTAAATTATATCCTTCTTTTCCAAAAATATTTGATACATAACCACTACTTAAATAGACCTATAATTTATTTTTCATTAAATAGTTCCTTGCTTTGTTTTTCGGCCTCCTTGTAACATCTTCTGTGAGCTCCCAAAACTCTTCTTTCCACCTGCACTTCAATTTGTTTGGAAAGAGCAACACACGTTAGCTGAGGTCATGTGCACCACCCTTTGCACACTAAAAATCCAATAGTCCAAAGTTCCTAGTCCATCTTGGGAACAAGCAAGAGAGGGTAGATATGTTCCTACATACAATAGGTCCATCGATAATGAATGTACCCACCCTATGCATTTTGCAGTGCATTTGCAGATTTGGGCGAAATGCATCAGTCAATATAACATTAGTTACTAGGGGTCACATTCACATCTACGGTGCATTTTTTTTTTTTGTAGAAATGCAGGGACTTTTTTTTTTTTCGTTTGTTTTCATGCAGCACAGTGCATTTTTTGGCGTATGTACATGCGTTTTTGGTGCGTTTTTCTGCGTTACAACAGGTACTTCCCAACTACATCAACACATCGCAAAAATGCAAAATGTATAAAAAATCCCCCACAAAACTTGCCTTAAAAACAGTTCTCAAAAAACACATCAACCACACATGCATAGATGTGAACCTAGCCTTATGCCTTATGCATATTGGCACTTTTCTAAACACAAGTTCTTTGGGGAGAATAAGCAACATTCATTGCTCTCAGGACCACTTTTTCCTGTGTGTACATGTTCCTGCGTCACAGCAGGTTTAAGGTCATCAGGAGTCTTTTAGTTCCCTGATGTCTCACCTACCCTCCTTACAGAAGTGCAAACATGAACATTTCTTGGGAATAAACTCTTGCGCTCTATTCTGATAAAAATCATTGGGAGATATGCCATGCCTCCAAGTGCCCCAGAAATAACTGCATTTAACAGAAAGAATGCTTTTTATGGTTTTAGCCAGCACTAGTGCAATATACCAGCATTCCAGCCAACCCCAATAATAAAAGAAAGTCCACCCAAAATAATAAAAAATGTGCAGCTATGGAAAGTGGCAACCATACTTAAGAGTTTATTTTTGAAAATAATTTCAATTATAACTGTAAACTTAAAGTGCCGTTAAAGTCTTATTTATTTTTCTTAAAACAGAAACTAACATAACTTACATGTATGACCTGTTTTTTCTATAAATGTACTTCGGAGTTTACTTTTGAAAACTGTCCCCTGGCAGTGCTGACACACTCCCCTTTTCATTTGTACTCCTGTGCAGCTGAGATCTATGGAGACCTGTAGGAGTCCCATCTACGTACATGCTTCCACTTCATACTACAACTATTTGTGCAGCATTCCAAGCATGGCACACACAAGCAGTACGAGATGACACAGAGCACATAAAGGAGTCTCCTATGGCTCTCTATAGGACCCAATGGTAGAGGGTGCAAACAAAATGAGAAGTGTGTCAATGCAGTCAGGGGACAGTTTCAAATGTAAGCTCGGAGGAGGTGGGTGACTTCTGACATTGTCTACATTCATGTTATTAACCATAATGGATACAAATGGCAAAAGAATGCAAACATATAGATGGTAATTCCCAGGTAAGATCCATGGACATGATAAATTATAACTACAATGGCTGTAACCATTATGTGTACTAACAAGCTGTTCTGGAACATTTATTTGCAATAACACAAGTTACTTTGATATTTTGTGGCCTTAACTGGTGATACCGGATCAGTAAGACTTCTTGCTATGGCCAGTACAGGGGTTATTTTATTCCTCAGCATGATACAGTACGTTGTGCATTGGGCCTTACAGGGCGTCTGTTTAGCTCCTGCTGGCAGGAGAGTGCTGCTTAAAAGACGCTGTAAAATCCACATATTGCACATGCATTTAGGCATGCTTAAGCGTTAGTGGATTCATTTGGCCAGAATATTAATGCATTCTAATAGCCAGAATAAAATTAACACTCAAAAGGAGCCTAAACACACAGCATTTAGGCACGTTAACACCCATTTAGGCACATTCAGTACTTTTTCTGCTCTTCTCCAGAATGCGCTTTTCAGGGGAGGTGGGGGGGGGGGGTTCAGCCTGTAAATGCTCCTCTTCTAAAATGTATGTAAACCCCTGTGTACATTAACATGTAGGATTACATAGAGGTGATTTACCAGCCTGTAAAAAGACACAGCAAATGCCTAGGACGTTTCAAGTTTATCTTCTGAACGTATATTCCTAAAATTGACCTGCAGAACTGGAAATAAATGTGTTTATAAGACATTTTAGTCCCTGAAGTGGAACTCTGGATATTTTCCTTAAGGATTGGGTCATACGCAATGAAGTTTATATTCTGATAATTTCATCTTGATATGGTTTGTCCATTTGAAGCCATTTGCTACAGGAGGATTAATACTGCAAAGAGATTGAAGCCTATCCTATTGCAACAGGTTATGACACCTGGATGGATTACAATTGGACAATGGAGTTGGAGTATACCCTGTTATGAGATTGCACTCATGTTTGATACTGGAAGGATACTTTAAAGTGAACGTAAACCCACTTTTGCATCTTTTACCTACAGGTAAGCTTATAATAATAACGTACCTGTAGGTAAAATGAATCTCCACAGTTTAGGAGATATTCGCTCTTTTGACAGCTGATGCATGTGCTCTGAAGGAACAGCATACCGGTGCTGCTCTTTCAGAGAATGTATGCTGGAAGTACTTCAAAGACTGTACTGTAGCAGCACATTGTTGTTTCCAACATAAATTATAGTTTTTCATTTACATTAGAATTGATTTTATTGTTTGCCAGGTATACAGATTTTTACTATATCACTAATATATTGTTTTTAATACTGAATTATTGAATTGTGTATTGCTATGTTTACATCTATATATTTATACCATCTATGTATTTATTTCCTGCATACATTATTTCAACTAACTTCCATGATCCCCCCCCCCCCCCCCCCCCCCCCCCCTCCTTTGGGTTTGAGGTGAGGTTCTTCATTATAGGCGGTACTGGCCACACACAAAGTAAGGCTCCAACCCAGGTAAGTCATAGCGCTGAGGAAAGGGATTCGTCCCCGAAAACGCATCAGCAGGCCGACTACACCATCAGTCGGACACACTGCCATCTTTGCGGCCATCTCTGTGGCCTTATAGGCTTTATATGTGCTATGTTTGTAAGTATATTTTTTGTATTTTTACACTTTTTAATAAACCTTGGATAATGCGCTAGGTGTTTGCGCCACCTGTATGCTTTCTTCCAGTTCGTTTATCTCCCCATCTGAGGAGGGCTGCATTTCGGGAACGCTATCCACAGGCCATTCACACACCTGATCCCCTTTGGCTTCCTCGAGGCGCTGGAGAGATTACATTTCTGTCCACCTTTATTTTTAGGATGGAACATGTAACATGATCCTGATCCTGCAGCCGCTGTCCGGTAACCCCCGCACTAACTGTCTACCCACATGGCTGCATCATACATTTATTGCGTTCTGTGAATAAATGGACTAAAATTCCTGACAGCCTTGGCAGCTGTCAGCTTGTAGTTATCAAACTGCTGCGAGCGCTGTGGTAGTTCACGAGTCTTTTCGTCAGAAGTATAGTGAGGTCTACAGGGTGTACAAGCAAGCAGATAAATTGATATGTCTGCAGGATGCCTGCATGGCATCAGCGATCTGCTGATCTCTGGTGCAATGCTTTAGAGCAGTGATGGCGAACCTATGGCACGCGTGCCAGAGCTGGCACGCAGAGCCATCTCAGTGGGCACGCCAGGAAGAAGAGGATGATGAGCGCGCATGGACCGGCCATCCAGATCTCGTCCACACTGGATCCCCATCAAACTACATTTCCCACATGTCTCTGGGGCCAGGGTGGGCGTGGACGAGAGGAAACGGCTCCAATGCGGCTCTGGCACCAGGGGTGATGTACCCGGGGATGGGCGCGGAAGAGAGGAAGAGGCTCCCCACACTGCTCCGGGGCCAGGGGCAACGTGTTCAGCGTGGATGGGAATGAGCTGCTGGGTTGGAAGCCACACCGACGCTGCCAGAGGTGAGATTGCTTGCAGTGTCATCCATCAGTGCCCAGCAGTGTCGCCCGTCAGTGCTGCCCAGCAGTGCCCCCCGTCAGTGCTGCCCAGCAGTGCCCCCCGTCAGTGCTGCCCAGCAGTGCCACCCGTCAGTGCTGCCCAGCAGTGCCACCCGTCAGTGCTGCCCAGCAGTGCCACCCGTCAGTGCTGCCCAGCAGTGCCACCCGTCAGTGCTGCCCAGCAGTGCCCCCCGTCAGTGCTGCCCAGCAGTGCCACCCGTCAGTGCTGCCCAGCAGTGCCACCCGTCAGTGCTGCCCAGCAGTGCCACCCGTCAGTGCTGCCCAGCAGTGCCACCCGTCAGTGATGCCCAGCAGTGCCACCCGTCAGTGATGCCCAGCAGTGCCACCCATCAATGATGCCCAGCAGTGCCACCGATCAGTGCCGTCTGTCAATGCGTCCAGGTAGGCAAGTGGTTAATTGCAGTGTTGGCACTTTGAAATAAAAAAGTTGGTTTGTGTTGCAGTTTTGGGCACTCGGGCTCAAAAAGGTTCGCCATCACTGCTTTAGAGGCTCCCACTACCAAAAGTAAAACAAATGCACATTTTTTTTTACTGCAAACAGAATTGGGGTATGTGGTGAGTGGCTCTAAATGGGGATAAGTATACCTGTATGTTTTGTATAACAAAAAGGTCTTTTTAAGGCTGATAATAGAATATTTTTAATATTTTGAGGTGTTGTCATATAGTAAACTTACTTTATCTAACACATGTATAGCAACTATCCATTATGAATGAATTTCTTCTGCTGGGCTATTGTATTCTGACAGCCATGAATACTGATTGGCTGCAACTGCTGTGCAGCCAACAATTATTGGCTGAGCTCCTCGATAACAACTGACTAAAATCGACTTTTGTCGAGCCGGCAGGACCACCCAACTGTAGGAATTTTGGCCAACCCTTCTGAATCAACCAAAATTTTAACAGTGTAAGGCCATCTTAAAAATTTCTCAGTAAGGATTCCACCAAAAATACATGTCTGTAACACAAGAAACTTACAAGAAATAGAAAATCAAAATTGACATCTATAAATTTGAACACAACTATGTGTGTACTATTTATGAAGTAGTAAAAATACATGTTGCATGTGTATATGCAAGTGCAATTATATACTATCTGGATATATGAAGCTCTGCCACTGAAATGGCCTGATAACTGACCTGTGCAATACGATCTTAACCAAAATAAAAGGAAAAGGAGTAACACTTACATTGACCAAACCAAAGTAATGTTCATTTACAGGAAATTGCTCCGGGCCAATCTCTTTTTCCAATGTTGAGGCATTGGTGCCCTGTGAAGGAAATAAAGTGTAAAGGGTTATTTTTGATGACAGAAGTAGGTAAAACATAACATTTACATAGGAAATAAAGCATAGAGCAGTGCACCAGTTCATTTTTTCTCTAGATTTTACAAAGTAAACAGCGCTTCTCTAAAAACTTAGATGGAAAAAAAAAAAAATACTATAAAAGATTTTTTTTTTTTTATATACTTTCATTTGTACTGAAACCAAGTGACAAAATCTCTCTCAGCAATTTAAAGAAATTATGAGCCACCAAGCGTTCAGGATTTGGCAGTCCCTCCATCACAGGCCACAGGAACATGTGTTTATTCATAAGCAGTGGGCACCTCTTTTATATTAGCATCACTCTCAGCAATCATTGCTTTATGCCACCAGCAAGATGCGACCATTTTTCCGTTGTTATTACTCTGCTTTCTGATAATCTAAGCCACACACAATAAATGCACATTGTAAGTAGAACCCTGTTTCCCTGTTAGGCCTCTTGCACATGGTATTGATGTTTGAGCACCTGCGGTTTTTTCTTTTAACATAAATTTTAGGAGCTTGTTTTGCACACACAATATATTCTTAGGGAAAATGTTTATGCTCATATGCGTGTATTCACACACATTTGCACGCAGGTGCACGCAGGTGCCGTAAATTACTGATCAAAAATGCAGATTTTTGTTTCCTGAGGAAAATGCTGCGTTTTATTTACATGTCTGTGTGCAAAGGCACATTGTAAATGGGCTACATTTTACCTCCGTAAAAAAAACAAAACAAAAAAAAAAAAAAAAAAAAACCATGCTGTACCAAGCTTTTTCAAGCTGCAGTACAAGAAGCCTTAGGTAGACTGCCTCTTACTTACTGTCCCAGTAACACAACAGAGTCTACAACAGATACCTACACTGAATGATTTTCCCTTACTATTTGTTCATGGACAACTGTCAATTTTGTTTTTGCCCTTTTAATTTCCCTTTATCTTTTGTCAGCAAAATTAGAGCAATTGTCACCAATGGACACATAGGCAGACACAAAACCTTGGCAGAAGTTTTCAACCTTCCTGTACCTTCTAAGATTCCTGCACAACAGTATTAAAATCGTTCAGATCACAGGACATAATTCATGTCTCACCGAAATAAACATTTGGCATTGGAGATACAGAAATGTTCAGTAACTCATATCTGTAGAAATACTGGATAGGCCCCATTCATATTGGCACTGCCAAACCTGCCTTTATATGTGTTTAGAGGACATCTCAAAATGCACATAAATGCATGTAATGATCTTTCAATGGTGCCATTCATAATGAATGTGTTTTAGGTGCAGTCAGCTTAGCTGAATTCAGATAAAACAGAATTCTTTCTGTCCCAAATCTATATGCAGATCAACACATGTAATTGCATCGAAGTGCAGCTAAAAACAGAAAAAAAAAAAGGAAGAGAGTGATCAGGGAGACATAAAAATTTTTTTATAACTCGCAGATCAGATCTCATGTGTTTAGAAATGCTAAACACAGGGGTGCCAGTATAAATGAGGCTACAGAGAGATATTACACTGGTAACCCGACAGTTCACACACACCAGTGATGATCCAGTCATGCTTGATTCAATACAGGATAGGATTCCCATTACGGCATTCCAAAACACCTAAAAGTCGAACTCAGGAGAATTAAAGTGATTGCAAAGCTTTATTTTTTTTTTAAAATTAAAATAGCAAACATGTCATACTTACCTGCCCTGTGCAATGGTTTTGCACAGAACAGCCCCATCCTCCTCTCCTTCACTAATGCCCCCCCCCCGGCCCCCCGCCGACTGCTCACCATAGCAAACTGCTTGCTATGGGGGCACTTGTGTGTTCTGGTTCTTGAACCCTGCTCTGTGTGTCAATTAGACAAACAGAGCCCGGTTCCCTTGTCACTGGCTCCGACTGACAGCAGTGGGAACCCTTAGCTGTATCTGAGCCAATGAGGAATGAGAGAGACTCAGCTCTCATATACACTGCAGGATCGAGATCAGGCTCAGGTATGTATTTAGCGGTATTTACAGGGGCGGTGGGGGAAGCTACATGCAGAAAGTTTTCCTCATAAAATGCAGTAAGATATATTAAAAAAAAAAAAGAAAAGAAAAAAAAAAAAAACCCCACACACCTGTGTGTACAACCCCTTTAGGGAAGAAAAGAAAAAAAAAAAAAAAAAAAAATCATCCTTGCATTGGGTCCCCATCCACAATGCATGGATTAACTGCACATTTTGCCATGGGATGATTAAAAAGTGATAAAATCACCTTATTCCTCATTCCCCCAACAGTTGCCCCTCTCCTCCATTGTTCGAAATTATGTGATGTTGGCGGCTTATCAGTGACCTCAAGATGACATCAGAGACTTTCCTCCTCCGGTCAGGCAGTAAAAGGAAAGGGCTTGTGGGGGACTGGTCAATGCAGCACCAAGGAAGACTGCAGGAATGAGAAATAAGGCAAGTATATTACCATATTCATCATTCTCTTGACAAAATGAGCAGAGAACCATTACAGTGTGGAGGGGAACCACTGCAGCTCTATTGACAAGCATGCACTGAATTACATTTTGTAACCTTCAACACACGATAATGAGAAAGTCCCCCACAATGTCATAATGGTGATGAAATGCCTTAACAAAAACAAAAAAAATGAATATTGATATAAACAATTAAAAGGTTAACTAGACCTATTGAGAAAATAAACAAAAAATGAGAATTGTTTTTTTTTTTGCAGGGGAAAAAAAAAAAAAAAAAAAAAAAAAAAAAAAAGAAGCCTAACAAAAGCACTGCGCCTGTGATCAACAGATTGCAGGTGCAATCCCAGGCTCCTGCAGACAGAGAAAAGAGCTGGCGACTGATAGTCACAGTTCTCTTCTCCGCGGCGGAAGAAATGAGCGATCAGTAGTGTTTGATCACTTATGTCTCACTGCAGAGCCAGCGGGGAAAGATGCAGCATTGGATAAAATGCTGCACCCAACTAGGGGAGTATAATGGGGTTTTTTTTTTTTGTTTTTTAAGTCTATACTTCTTTTACGTAATAAAATGCTTAGAGAATCAACATGTACAGTGGGGCAAAAAAGTAGTATTTAGTCAGCCACCAATTGTGCAAGTTCTCCCACTTAAAAAGATGAGAGAGGCCTGTAATTGGCATCATAGGTAGACCTCAACTATGGGAGACAAAATGAGAAAAAAAAATCCAGACAATCACATTGGCTGATTTGGAAAGAATTTATTTGCAAATTATGGTGGAAAATAAGTATTTGGTCAATATCAAAACTTCATCTCAATACTTTGTTATATATCCTTTGCTGGCAATGACAGAGGTCAAACATTTCCTGTAAGTCTTCACAAGGTTGGCACACACTGTTGCTGGTATGTTGGCCCATTCCTCCATGCAGATCTCCTCTAGAGCAGTGATGTTTTGGGGCTGTTGCTGGGCAACACGGACTTTCAACTCCCTCCAAAGGCTTTCTATGGGGTTGAGATCTGGAGACTGGCTAGGCCACTCCAGGACCTTGAAATGCTTCTTACGAAGCCACTCCTTTGTTGCCTGAGCGGTATGTTTGGGATCATGGTCATGTTGGAAGACCCAGCCACGTTTCATCTTCAATGCCCTTGCTGATGGAAGGAGGTTTGCACTCAAAATCTCACGATACATGGCCCCATTCATTGTGTCCTGTACATGGATCAGTCGTCCTGGTCCCTTTGTGGAGAAACAGCCCCAAAGCATGATGTTGCCACCCCCATGCTTCACAGTAGGTATGGTGTTCTTTGGATGCAACTCGGCATTCTCTCTCCTCCAAACACGACGAGTTGTGTTTCTACCAAACAGTTCTATTTTGGTTTCATCTGACCATATGACATTCTCCCAATCCTCTTCTGGATCATCCAAATGCTCTCTAGCAAACTTCAGATGGGCCCGGACATGTACTGGCTTAAGCAGGGGGACACGTCTGGCACTGCAGGATCTGAGTCCCTGGCGGCGTAGTGTGTTACACTGATGGTAGCCTTTGTAACGTTGGTCCCAGCTCTCTGCAGGTCATTCACTAGGTCCCCCCGTGTGGTCCTGGGATTTTTGCTCACCGTTCTTGTGATCATTTTGACCCCACAGGGCGAGATCTTGCGTGGAGCCCCAGATCGAGGGAGATTATCAGTGGCCTTGTAGGTCTTCCATTTTCTAATTATTGCTCCCACAGTTGATTTGTTCATACCAAGGTTCTTGCCTATTGCAGATTCAGTCTTCCCAGCCTGGTGCAGGTCTACAATTTTGTTTCTGGTGTCCTTCGACAGCTGTTTGGTCTTCCATATAGTGGAGTTTGGAGTGTGACTGTTTGAGGTTGTGGACAGGTGTCTTTTATACTGATAAATTCAAACAGGTGCCATTGATACAGGTAATGAGTGCAGGACAGAGGAGCCTCTTAACCACTTCCAGACCGGACACTTTTACCCCCTTCCTGACCAGGGCAATTTTCAGCTTTTAGCGCTATCACACTTTGAATGACAATTGCGCGGTCATGCAACACTGTACCCAAATGAATTTTTTACCATTTTTTTTAGATAGATAAAGCTTTATTTTGGTGGTATTTATTCACCACTGGGATTTGTATTTTTTTTTGCTATGTAAATGAAATGTCCAAAAAATTTTTAAAAAAGTGTTTTTTTTTATAAAATTTTGCAAATAAATATTTCATCATAAATCTTAGCCAAAATGTATTTCGTTATCTTTTTAGTAAAAAAAAAAAAAAAAAATACAAATTAGTTTATAAGCAAAAATTATAATTTTTAAACATTTTTATTTTATTTTTTTAGATTATTTTTTATTTTAATTTTTTTTTACATACTGTCACCCTAGCAGTACAGTGTCACCATGGTGACACTGTACTACTTGTGAGGGGTGATAAAGATTTTTTTTTTTTTACACTGATTGCTTTTACACCCATATAGGATGTAAAAGCAATCATTTCTCTTTCTCTCTGTGTGCATTCCTGCACTCATTGAGAAATACAGAGTGGGCTGTGATTGGTCACAGCTTGTCACATGGTACAAGGCTTTT